GAGGGAGAGGGAGAGGGAGAGGGAGAGGGAGAGGGAGAGGGATGAAGGGATGTAGGAAAGAATCATGGAGGAGACAGAAGAAGAGAAGACAGTAAGGAGTGCAGGGTAGAGCTCAATTACTTTGATGATACGACATGCGCAAAGAAAAGCAAGGAGAGGGAGGGAGGGAGGGAGGGAGGGAGGGAGGGAGAAAAGGGGTGGTGAGAAGGATGGGGTTGAAGAGGAGAGGAGGGAGAACAGGAGGCGCGGAGAATAGTTTTCCTCCCAGCTGACCTTATGAGCAGCTCATCGATATCTCTATCCAGAGCAGCTCAACAACACGATGAAGCCGCGGGTGCCTAAGATGTCTATCCAACAAGCCAGTCCCCCTCGCCGAAATTTCCCGCTAGACAACGCAGCAGAGGCAACACAAGGAGGAAGGGAGGAGAGGAGGAGAGGAGGAAGAGGAGGAAGGGAGGAGAGGAGGGTGGGAGGGAGATGGAGGGTGGGAGAGAGCAGGTGAGATATGCGGCTGACTGAATGCCCAGGTGATTGTGGATGGGAGCAGGATCGAGTCGAAGGAGGACAAGAAAATCCGACGGCTACTCATGGAGGACTTTTCCTCCCTGCTCAGGGTCAGGCCTCCTCCTCCTCTGCTCGTGTGAATGACAAGGATGGCAGGGGGGAGATTTGAGATCGCCGAGCCGCCTCAAGCGGCTGAAGAGGATCTCGAGGCTGAGCTCGAAGAAGGAAGAGGACGAGAAGCAGACGGAAGTTCAGAAGAAACCGGAAGATGCAGCACGGAGGGTAACTGCTACCCTTGTCTTCCCAGCAAGACCGCCCAAGACGGCTCCACCCACTCACAGTCTGACATTCCTGCCGGAGGAAAGTCGCCAGCAGCTCATCGATCAGCTAAAGGACGAGTGGGAGGGGCACAACAGGATGCTACAAAGATATTCTCTGAGCCTTAATTACCTCGACTCCATTAGCAGAGTGAGTCTCCCCCTCTACCCCCCCCCTCCTCCTCCTCCTCCTCCTCCTCCTCCTCCTCCTCCTCCTCCTCCGCAACCCTTATGGTTGACTTGGGCGCAGGTGAGAAAGCGGGAAGAGGCTGAGCACAACATGAAGCTGATTGAGGACAAGATCAAGCTCCTGTCCCACCAGGTCTTCCTTCCCCTTCTACCTGCTGACCCTGACCGCCTTCACAGAACATCATCATCCACGACCAGCCGCCCAGCGTCCGCACCCGCACCCGCACCCGCATGCGTTCCTGATCCTTCTGTACCGCCCACAAAAACCTCGTCCTTGTGTCGTCCTCTTCTCAATGAATAAACTTGTCCTAGCTGGGTTGGTTGTGCAGTCTCCTCCCAACGAGGTACATAGAGTCCCTCAGCGAGTCGTGCAGCTGCCCCAGCACGCTCCTCGTCCTCCTCATCCCCATGATAGTCACGTACACCATCGCTCCTCCTGGATACATCACTCGCCAGTACCAGCTGCAGCACCGCGCCCCGAAACCTGCCATGCTGTCAGCTGCGTCCTTGTACCTCACTACTCCCTCCTCGCACTCGAAAAGTACTCCGGCCCTCCTCCCTCTTCCCTTACTCTTCTCCTCCTCTCGCTCTCTTGTTCGTACTCACCAAGGACAGGCATCAGCCCCCAAGCAAGCGCATAAGGGACTGCAAGGAGCATGGAGAAAGCGGAGAGGAGGGGGACGGCGAGGCTCCTCATGACCCAGGAGAGCCGCACGTTGCGCAGGCCCATCTGCTTCAAGTGCTGCAGCTTCTCACTCCAATGCGGCGCGAGGGAAGGGATGGCGAGCAGGACGCGGACGGTCACCTTGAGGACGAGAAGTCCCACCATCCAGTGCAGGAGGCCATGGAAGGCAGGGGCCTGATCCCATCCAACCCGCAGCATGAGGGTGAAGACGAGGTCGAGAAGCAGTCCGAGGAGGAAGGGAAGGAATCCTCCGAGAAGCAAGAAGATACATGCGAGCTCGAGCCCCTGCAAAGCCTGTGAGTCCTATGATACGTGGACTTTTGGGAGAAGAAGAGGAGGCGGGGAGAAATGGGGGGAGGGGAAGGCGGGGGGAAAAGGAGGTGGTGGAGGCATCCGCCTTACCCGAAACATTGTTGAGATAGTGTTGCTAACAAACACGTCAAACTCATGCTGCTGGAGCTGAAGACGAAGTCTTGCCGTTCCTTCCCAGAGCCAAACTGCTCATCATGATCACCTTGAGCAGTGAACGACGAGGAGGGCGAGGAAAAGGATGAGGGAGAGGGAGACGAAAACGGTAACGACGAGGCAGATGAGGAGGAGGGAGAGGGGAGGAGGGGAATAAGAGAGACGGAACGAAGGGAGCAGGAGGAAGAAAGCTCACCTGTTGAGGAGAAGCCTATGGAATACGCGTACATGTCGTTGCATTCGTTCACACCCAGGACCGCGAGGATCTGACGGCCAACAAGGAGGGGGACGATGACGGAGAAGCCGCCGACCAAAGCGATGGACAAGCACGCGAGGTGCAGCATCAAAAGAGACTCTTTGAGGATAGACCGCTTCTCTCGGCCATCGCTCTGATCTTCTTGCAAGATGTCTGCCTCTGATGATCGCTCGTTGGCAGATGCTTGATCCTGCACGTGGTCCTGCGCCGGCTCCTCTGCCTGATCCTGTGCTCTAGCCCCCTCGTCAATCTGATCTTGAGGAAGGACGCGATCTCGGATGTCTAGCGCGGTTCCGACCGCCTCCAGCCATGCTCGTAGCAGCGTCTGCGGCAACCAGGTCACAAGGGACGGGAGGGAACGAACGGCTCTCACCTTGAAGAAATCGCGAGGAGCAAAGGTTTCCATAAGAAGAGGAAAGGAAATATGGAGCAGGAGAATGTAGGGTGGGACTTCAGCTATAGGGTTGTAGAATCTGAACCTCACAGGAAACAGACCAGGGAGCGCCTGAAGAGAGGAGAACGTCAAAACCAGGGAAAAACACACGAGCGGCCATCACCGCATCGGCAAGAGCAAGAGGAAGATGGATGAGGATGACGGTAAGGGGAAGGTAGAGGATTGTGCAGAGGACGATCCTCCTCGCATGCTTCGGGATCGGCTCGTCGATCAGATCTCGAAGAGGGTGTTCGATCGCATCCTCCGGGTTCCTCAAGAACCAGAGCACTTCTGGCTTGACAACTTCACGCAGCACAGCAACCAAGACTGCCACATGGACCATGAAAGCAACCCCGACTGCCCAGTGACTGCGAAACCTTGTCACTCTCACTCGTACCGGGAGATCAAAAATTACAGGAATTGAGAAGTGAAGAAGTTTTGCCGCATGTACTCCATCCTTTCCGCTCTCGTTGCACCTGTCAACTGCAGGGAGCAAAAGTCTAACCACCACCCGCATCCTGTTGGGAAGGCAACGAGCTCGATCAACAGGAGCACCGTGACCTGCTGATTCTGTCAGCTCAAGTGAAGAGGGAGCAAGCAGACTTTCCTTGATCAGGATCAGCGCATATCGAGTCATGCTCAGTACTTGGCGATGTAGAGGAGAATGAGGAGAAAACCATTCCTGCCTTGTTCCAAACACCAGCGAGACCAGGATTACATCCAGGAGGATGAAGATGATCGTTGCATATCCCGTCAAGAGCGTGACTCCGTCACCGTAGTATGCACTCTCTGCTTCCTTCTCCGTGAAGGTGATGTCGAAGAACACTTTCCAGTTGTGCTTGAACTATTCAATCAAAAAGTCAGCTAAACTGCAAAAATGCGACAGGTCTCATTCACCCATAGGATAGATCTTCCGATGCTGAAAGGAATGAAGGTGAGCATTCCAATGAAGATGGCGTTGGAAATCAAAACTGTAAGAAAGTTTTCCAGGATCAGAGGAAGGGGCCCATTGATCCCAATGAACTCCTCCAAGGGGATTTCCTCCCTTCCGTCCAAGAACCCAACAAGCGGGTCGTCGTTTTGGACCTCCTGATTCTCCACCTCTCGGATCGGGAAGTTTCTATCCGCTTCTTGGTTGAAGTTGACGTTATCATTCCTCATGTCAAACTCTTCGTTCCCTCCCGCGCCAAAGGGCTCTTCGGCTCCTTCCTCGTTCTCAGGTTCGAACTGGCGACGAGCAGGCTGAGCAAGGTTGAAGCGGTTCGGTGCTGGGATCCTGTACTGTTGGCGGTTGTGGAGGTGTTGATGAAGTCGTTCTTGACGGAGCATGTAATCTCGCAGAGCAGAGACTGCCAAGAAGACCGTGACGACCAGCAGAGACAGCAGGACCCCTTGCATCCAATCTGCCACGATGGCACCGACCTGCGCGTTCACCAAAAAAAATCAAACAAGAGCACGTCAGGGCAGACGTTCACTATCACCTGCATTCGATTGCGGAAGTGTGACAGTATGTACAGGGACCTCATAAAGTACAACCTACAGATCCACGACGTTCCAACGGGCAAGAACACGATCCATAGGAAGGCAATGAGATTCTGCAGGTGACATGTCATGCGAAGGGAAAGCAACGACCTGAGAAGCAGTGCAGGATACAACTCACCAGCCTCAAATACCAGATAACCTTCTTGAAAAGCACATCCAGCAACCCAGCGGTGAATTCATAGGGCGAAAGCCGTTCAGGAGCGTTGGGAGCATATACAGGTGAGAAAATGAATGGCTGATGGCAAAGTTCGCACTTAGTTGACCCTGTCCGCGCCAACCAGGCATCCAAGCACTCTTGGTGGACATATCGGATTGAGCCTGAGCATTTGCAGGGATACAACAGGACTCCGCACTCTACCCCCCCACGGCAGATGCGACATTCTAGATCGTCCTCGTGACAACCAGCATCTGACACCCTTGCATCGGATGAACCTTCATTGCTAGCTTTCTGAAATTGAAAATCTTCTGACATGTCGACCTCGTCGCGCTCTTCACTCTTGCAGGCGTGATCCCATTGGGAATCGTCTTCCACGGCATCCGAGTTCCGACTGCGGACATCCTGCGCATTGATGTCTGAATCATCATAATCGAGGCTGTTACTTGAGTGCGTATCATGGTACGACTGTGCAAACACTGGCTGTGCAAAAATCATCTGAGCAGAGTCCGTTTGCACATCGCTCTCTTCACTCTGTGTCAGGCGAGTGTTCTGCCACAGCATACCCCTCACTGCTGAATCAGAGAATCCTTCGGCAGTCGAATTGTTATCCTGCAAGGACATTCAAACTCTTGATTGATCTTCCTGGCAGAACATTCAATCTGAGCGAATTTTCCCGCAGAAAGCACTCATGTTGTCCTAGAGAACTTTAGACTGTGATGATTCACTTGTCATCCTCGGTCGTCCATTCGTGTAGGAACAACCTATGGCATGGTATCAGTGCAACTCCATGTATGATGTAAACGCATTATAACACAGAACATGCATTACTTCTGGTCCAGCACGATTGCAACCAGCAACTGAACAAACAGGAACATCGCAAAACAGCATGTGTTCCCATCTAACCTCTCAAGTTCAAATCGAGCATGATGGCTGTCCTCACGATTCAAGAAGCATCATCTTTGAGCAGATCTCAACCTATCGGTATCTTCTGACACTCTCGACCGAGCCAATCGACCTCTCCTTGCCTCCTCTCCTCACCTACCCAGTTTCTGAGTTTTCAACCAAATCTTGTGTTTGACCTCTATGCAATCGACATCTCAGGCTCCCTAATCACTTGCATCGCCTTTCAGCGGCTCTGTCCTCGGCTCTGTCCTCTCCGTGCAACCTTTCCATTGCCTGTAGCTCGATCCGTCATCATCTTATCCCTTCCATCTTCATCTGCTTCATTCCCTGCCTTTTGTCTACCAGCCATGTCGCAGCATCTCTCAACCCCTTGATACCATCTAGTTTTCCCAAGAATAATTTCACACATGCATAATGTTTTCAAATATTAATTTATTATTTGAAATTTAATCAAAATATTTGCATACAGTCGCTTTTTTTTTCCTAAAGTCGATATCCTTAGGCCGGGGCCCGGACCGCCGCCACAGGCCCCGGCGGCCAGGCGGGCGGGCCCGGCCCAGTCACTGAGTGAAACCTCGGCGGACGGTATACTTTTTACTCAAAGTTAAGTTAAAAATAAGTATACTACTACCGCCGCGCGTGATGATTGCGTGATCGGACGGTCCGATCTGTCAGCGCAGGCAAGTTTCCGTTCCGAACGTGACTGATTTGCGGTCCGAGCGACGGTGCCGGGCCTATTGAGCGGGCCCCCGGCCGCGGGTCCGATCCGAGCCGAGTGGGCCGGCCGCCGCCGCCGCCCCGGGGGCATCATCATAGTTGGGGCACTAGTAAAGTCACTGAGGCAAACGCCGGTGCCAGGCTGTCACACGAGTCGCTGAATCGAGACTGGTGATGACTTGAGACCCTCCCTCCCTGAACAAGTTGTGATCCGAGCGGGGTGGGGTGATATGAGTACCCGTATATTTTAGTCTTTGAACCCCTTCCTTGCCCAAGGGTACATGGGATATTCTATCAAATTCCTCTACGAGGGGTCAAAAAGTAATCTAGTTTTGGGTAGGGACATGTCAGCAAGATGGTGGTCCCCACCGGTTGGTCTGTGCTGGTTGATGGGTTTGATGACAGGGGGTAGGGGTAGGGTACTTGATCAACACTGATGGTATTCGGTACCGGTGTCCGTTAGAACTAGAATTGTAAGTACCTGGTTATACCCTTTCCTGGTAGGGGTACTTGTCGGTGAACCGGAGGGTGTATTCATAATGTATGGTGTCATCAAGGTCCTTGCTTATGGAGGGGGGTAGGATAGAAATTGGTAGGGTGGTGGCTCGTAGGGATACAATTAGCCACCAAAAGGTTGAGAGGGGAGGGGGTATTCCCGATGTGCGTGAGGAATAACAAGGGGTGGGGGTGAGCTCAAAATGATGGAGATATGGGTGGGGTATGGATACGCCGCAGTATAAAGAGTAGGGTGGGTGGAGCAGGTCGTAGAGACAGAGGATGGTGAAGGAAGTTGCGACTAAGGCAGAGTTCGACAGCATTATTGCGACAGACAAGGTGACATCATGTTGAGATGTTTCATGATTGAATGAGCGTGTTCTTAAACTCTTTATTATTGCTTCTCTACTTGAGTTTTCGACTCTTTGACTGTGATGTGCAGCCTGTTTTCGTTGATTTTTCTGCGACGTGGTGTGGACCATGCCAGAGGATTGGACCTGTTTTTCACAAGCTAGCTGATGAGTACGGCGACAAGTGCATTTGCATCAAGATTGATGTTGACGACAACGAGGTGAGTTTGGCAATTTCACTAACCTCAGGCACATGGTGACGAGATACTCTCCAGGAAACTGCGGCTGCTTGTGGAGTTGAGTCCATGCCCACTTTCCATGTTTACAAGGGTGGCAAGCTTGAGCACAAGTAACTTTTTTCTTATCATCCATAGTACTAGTAACACTGTGGGTCCAGGTTCACCGGTGCTGATGAGGGCACTTTGAGAGAGTGCTTCAAGAAGTACTGCTAGATCAAATCTGCTCAAACAAGTGTAAACGATTGCTTCGTATTGGGAGGCAGGGGTACTTGCCTACAGAACACAACTTGAAAATAAGTAAATAGCTTGTGATATTTCCTGGTTCTCAATTCTCATTGTGGTCGAACCTGCTTTTGGTGCACCCGACTCTAAAGGCTCGTCACCAGAAGCTGATCTTGCTCGCAATTCTTCATCTGACCATGGCGAGTGTGTTGTGAAATCATCCTTGAGTTTGAATCATAGCATAATATTGTCAACTTTTTGCTCGTGAAGCCCATTTCGAACCGTTGAACCAGATCTGCAATAACGGTTCTGAAAGTTCCCCTCAAAACTTCCCGAGTCCGTGTATTGGGTGACCGGAGGTACGGTATCGTAATCAGTAGTGTTGCCGCGGCCCGTCAAGGACAATCCGATGATCACTGGGAGACACTGTTGGCCAGGACCAAGAGGAACCAAACTTGAAGTTTCAAGTCAAGTTGCCAGCCGGGTCCCCGCATCAAAGCCTACATGATCACAGTGGCGCCTGCACTGTGCCTTTACCGACTGCTGCCCCCCAAACTTAACTGATATCTTCACTTAACTGCGCGCAGGACAATTCTCCTTTTACTCAAAGTTAAGTGAAAAATCATTACGAGGACAATTCTCCCGTGCTGTCCACAGGGCCCCGGTTGACTCATCCGGATTACCCGATCGGACAACGGAGGCTCTTGTTACTCAAAGTTAAGTTAAAAATCAGTACGAGGATAGACCCGTTGTCAACTTCAGATTCCTCGTGTGCTAGAATAGGAGGGGGTGGTCGTTTGTGCTCTAAGTACCCCTTCGAACATATGGAAGACTATGGGTATTCACAAGGGAAATGGATGGGGGAAAATCTATTTGTGTCATTTGAGGGGGTAGGGGGTGATGTACCATCTCGTCTTGCAAATAAAAATGAAGAAGATTTCAGTCAAAAATGAAAGCTCACATCTACATTTGACTCAGGCAGGGAAAGGAATGCAGGAGACCAAGGTAGACGTTGAGGGGCAGAGTGAGGGAGCGAGGGGGCAGGACGAGAAGGATGCGCAACAACGACGCCAACAACAGGGAGGACAAGAGCATGTCATACTGTGGGGTGGAGTGTGCGTGCATGCAGGAACGGGTGTGCCACTGAAGAACGAAGAGCTGAAGGCCACTAAACTCGACACGGGTGGCGACAAGGCGAGTCCTCGTCAAGAGAATGCGGATAAAGGTCTTGATGCATTAGTGGGTGGCGTATGCGTGAATGCGGTGAGTGGAAAACCGGTCAAGAAGGAGGAGTTGGGAGCTCTACACCTGGAAGAATTTCTCCCTTCATCTCACCGTTGCCCCTGTTGTGGCACTATGATCGGTGGGGCTGAGCGTGAGCAATCGATGTGTGACAATCAACGATGGAGCTGGAAAGGAGAGCCGATGTTCTGCTGCTTTTGTGCAAACTTGAAGGGATTGGGCAGTTTGAGCCATTTTGGATGTGAACTCTGTAAATCCCGGAGAAAACGATTCTACAAGAGGCAGTCTTTGCTCAACTCCAATTGCATTAATTGTGGCAAGCCTGGTAGTCAGCATGTGCCTGCTGATCCCAATGGAAGGGTAAAGTTTCACCTGCTCAAGTGTGTGTCGACTAAATGAAAAGACCTTTCTACCGGAGCTCGAAAAGAAATGTAAACTTCGCTCCGCGAGTGTAGTTCTCTTGCAGTGAAAAGTTTTAGATCCTGCATCCATTTGGAAAATTAAAACACGATGCAAAATTTACGATGAGCTGTCCGATCGAGTATAGACCGAGTACAAGATCGACTTTCGTTGTTCAATGACAAAGTGCATAGCATTGTACAACAGTTCAAACTGTGGAGGTGGGAACACAGTGAAAGGCCATCAATGCAGTAGATGAGTGAAACTTCAATAGGGAGCAGCGGCACTAAAGGGACAAGGAAGGATCTTTCCACTTTCGTTCAATTCATCCATGACACAGCAAGACTCTATTCCTGTGAGCTGCTGATAATCCCTTGTTTCTACTTCATAATTTTGCATTTGGCATGAGAACCTCGTTAATTGTTTCATCTCCAACCTGCAGATTCTCTACAAGTCAGGCATCAATAGGACTGAAAAACTTGAAACACCTCGTTGAGAGCTTCCCTGTCCCTCACACCAAGCAGGTAGAGGATGCCGTCTAGTCCGAGCGTGCTGATTCCCACTTTTGCCTGCGAAACGAACTTCAGAGCCTGGACAGCAAGCCTGACCGTCAAGTAGCAGTAGCAGCTCACCTGCTCTTTAACCTTCGGCTTTGCATGGAAAGCAACACCGAGCCCAGCGAGCTTGAGCATAGGAATGTCGTTGGCACCATCACCGACTGCAATAACTTGCTTAAGAGACAAGCCCTCCTTCTTCGCAATCTCCTGAAGCAGCTCTGCCTTCCTATTGCCGTCAACGATTTCTCCCTTCACTTCTCCTGTAAGTTTTCCATCCTTGAAGTCCAGCTCATTGGCGTGCACATAGTCGATTCCCAGCTTCTTCTGCAAGAAGCGAGCGAAGTAGGTAAAACCTCCTGACAGGATTCCAACCTTGTAACCCAACCTCTTAAGGTTAGCTATCAGCCTTGGAGCTCCTTCTGTGACAGGGAGTCCCTCAGCAATCTCCTGCAGGACATTCTCGTCCATCCCCTTGAGGAGTCTCATACGCCTCTTGAAGCTTTCCTTGAAGTCAAGTTCCCCTCGCATGGCTGCTTCTGTGATTTCTGCCACCTGCTTCCCAACATTTGCCTTCTTGGCCAGTTCATCAATGACCTGAACAAGCAATTACCGATCCGGCTACCCAGGATCGCGAAAGATTTACCTCGCACTGTATGAGAGTCGAGTCCATGTCGAAGAGAATGAGGCGCCTGTTTCTTCTATAGAGATCATCGTCCTACAGAAAGGGCAACATAAGGAAGGAAGCGACAGGAGATTCGAGTGGTAACAATGTCAAACCTGCACAGCGATGTCGACAGGTTGGCTGAGAGAGACTTTGAAGAGTTCTTCTCTCATTTGATCCACATTGCGAGGCTTTCCGCTGACCTTTCAAGAAAGTGAACAAGAGATTACCAAGAGAGAAATCGAATTACCTCGAACTGAAGGGCAGATCGTTGCCCTTTCACATTAGTGCTGAGGTATTCGTCAATGGTCAAGCGCTCCAGTCAGAAGGAACTCACGAATTGAGGCCCCGCAATGAAACTCGACCAGAAAGTCGAGTAATGCTGTCAATGTTCAAGTTGTTGTCGAAGATGATCTTCGTTACTGCCACCGACAGGCTCAACTACAACAACAACAATCGAGAGGCTAGTTCACCAATGGCAAGGTATTGTGCCTGGAGCCTCCTAGTGAGCAGAGTCACAGTGAAACGAGGCTTGGTTTGTTCGGCGACCCATCTTTCGTAATCAGGAGCAGAGATGGGAGTGAAATTGACTGGGTGTAGTCATCAAGAGTGTCAGCGCAAAGCAAGCTCTTGTAACACGGATCCCACCACCTGTGAGCCCCAGGTGATGTGCCATGAAGACGATCTCCTTCAGGACGTTCAGACCTGCGCGAACCTGTCATTGCTTGCAGAAACCTCTCACTCTCAGTGCCTGGCTCAGCCGGGGCCTCGATTAGCATGCCGAGAGACAGCATATCGTGGATCTCTGCAACCGTATTGACAAACTCATCAACACACGTCAGATGCGTCGGTTACCAGCTTGCCCGATGTCGAGGACGGTAACGTTGTGCTTGCCCATCGTCTCGGTCAGGGCTGCGGTGAGACCCGGGCGAGCTCTCTCGCCCTTCACTGTGAGAAGAAAAATTTCTCGGCGAGGCATTTTAGGACTCCCTCCAGACTGGAAATTGATTCAATGAACTGACGATTGAGACAGATCTTTGACATCTTCTACACGAACAGATCTTTGACATCTTCTACACGAACATAGATCAAAGTGTTGTGATGAATCATCAGCACTCAAAACCAAAATCCATGTGCACATTTCGCGATTTGCGTTACACCCCTGCCTCCTCACGATTAGTTGTTCTGCCTGTTCATACGCGTCCCTCTGCAGTAGTTCGCTCTTCTTCCTGCCTCGCAGTGCTGTTCTATTCTTTTTTGTTTTGTGTTTTGCACCCTTAAACATTTTCTCGTCATTTTGGCTGAAAGCGAAATGACGATCCCCTCCTCGTCTAATCTTGCTATATGATCCTGGCTTCACATCAATGCTCCACATCTTCAGATGGTATAGATTTCCTCTCTGATGATCATGACTTCTTTCATCAACGTCCTTGAGTCTCCTCCCGTTCTCTCTTTAACGTATCTCGTCCTCTCGCTTCATTCCTCCTCCTCACATCCTCTCCCCCCCTCTATTCCGCGGGGCCGCAAAAACGAGCACAAGAAGCCTCATTCGAACCTGTTTCCTGTGGGTGTTCTTTGTCATCAAAAGCTGAAAATAACTTCGTCTGTATTTCAAAACTTCTTTTTGATATTCAAATGTACAGGTTGAGTTATGCATGGTTGTGAAAATATGGCGCTGGTTCTTATCAGACAAGCGTGAGTTGGATTCCCTATTGACCGTTACGCTTGAGTGAACTCATAACCGTCTATATAGTTGTTGGCACCGAGCCAAACAACTAGGCTTCTACAGTTTTTTAATCAACAATTGGGGGATAAATAGGGGGTAGTTTTAGATGTATAAGGAGGGGTAGTAGCAGGGTACGGGTTTGCTCTGGTAGAAACTTCGGGCAAAGGGGTCACAAAATCTTCGATTTATTTCATTTAATTCTGTGACTTGTGAAAACATTGCTGTACTTTTCGAGAAAGGTGGAATAAATACATCACAAAAAGTCCCCTGCCGGTAACGACGATGTTTCCGGGAAATCTTGGTAGGGGTGGGTTATCTAAAATCATGGGTCATATTTGTCTTACAGGGGTATATGAAGCTCTCAATGGAAAATAATGGGGTACTTTTTGTAATGAATTACAATATTTAAGCACGGGTACATTTTTTTTGACAGGGGTGCTAGCGAACTAATTGTCAACAAGAGAGGGTGGGGGGTACTATTTGAGGGGTGGGGGTAGGGGAGGTGGCGCATCATGTCAGAGAGTGAACCATATGAAGGAACAGATGGAAGAGGGAGAGGGGCAGGGAGAGGAAGAGGAAGAGGAAGGTAGAGAGGGTAGTGGAAGGAAGGAAGCGCGGGGAAAGTGCGACAAGGCAGGTAGAACGTTGGCGAGCAAGCTGGGTGGAAGGGAAGGACTAACACTACTAGGGAAGATTGCAGCCTGATGTTTGGCTGTATGCTCATTGTCTTTGACCTGAGTCCAGGGTGTAATTGCTGAGGGAAAGAGATTTTGCCATGAATTTAATGTTCAAGCTGAGTGCTCTACAGGTGCTCTGGCCCGACGCATGGTTCAAACACCTTCCATGGATGGGATAAGATGAAGACAAGGGGAGACCCATATTCTGCCTGAAAATTAGAAAACATGTCGGATCCTATCTCACAGCTCGGGTCATGGTTTGGCCAAGAGAGAAATCAGAGCTTTGGAGAACTTCCGAGCAGGAGGAGCAGTGCACAGACAGTGGCGAAGGTGCCTGAGAAAGACAAGACCGAATGCTTCGGTGTCGGGCTAGCGTTCGAGATCGGGAGGGACAGCAGTCTGTTTGTGTCACAGCTGGACCCATCATGCTCTGCTGCTCGGTCAGGAGTGATCCAAGTGCATGACGAGATCTTGAAGATCGATGGGGAGTTGGTCGAGAAGCAGTCCCTGAACCTTCTCAAGTCCAGGGTGCTGGGCAGGCAGGGCAGCTTCGTGAACATGACGTTTCGACGCCTTACCGATCGAGGATTGTTCGTGTTCGAGGTTGAGCTGATGAGAGGGGCCGCAGAGTTCATCGAGATCGTCAGCCAGTGCAAGCTGATGACCAAGGAGAACAAGAAGCTGGTGGCTCAGATTCGAGAGTCCGAGCTGACGGCTGAGTCACACAGGGAGAACATGATGACGATGCTCAAGGATCTGCAGAAGTTCGAAGAGATTACAGCACAGTATCAAGCTCTTCAGAGGAGGGCGGAGGGGGAGAACGAGCGGCTGTCCAAGGAAGTGGCTCAGCTCAGGCAGCTCCTTGCGGATCGAGGGGAGCAAGGCGACCAGGTGTGTCCGGCAGGAGGAGGATTGCTGGTTGACGATCTGGCCAGGACTTGAAACAGCGCGAGGAAGTAGAAGCTCGTCTGCTAGCGGAGGTCCCTGCATGTTCCTCCGACGGATGTGACTGACGATGAAGCAGAGGAAGGAGTTGGAGTTGTTCTATCAAGGAAGAGAAGAGGAGCTCAAAAGAGAGGTACTCCAAGTCTTCTCTTCATGGCCATCCTGCTGGACAGCCGTGACCTGTGTTTCAGGTTCAAAGCCTCCAGGCCGTCATCAGAGACATGCAGGCAGCAAGGGAGAGGAGTCAGCAGGAGCAGCAGCAGCTTCTGCAGCACGAGCAGGAGCATCGAGGGCTCACCGCGGAGCTCGAAGAGCTGAGAACTGCGAATAATAATTTGACCGCTAGAGTTGTCAAGATGAATGAGGAGATGACGTCCAAGAGGCTGCAGGGGGCAGCTCGGGAAGAGCACATGCTGGATCAGATCAGGCAGGCGGAGCGAGAGAGCTCGTCGTTGAGGAAAGAGATCGAAGGAGTGAAAACTCAGCTGGAGTTGACGAGGTTGGAGCTGAAGGAGAAGGAGTTGGAGGTAGCGAGGATGAACAGCGGGAGCCAGGAGGAGATGAAGACGTTGGCCGCCAAGCATGACAAGTCGCTGTCCAAGATCGTCAAGTTGGAGGAGGAGATCTGGAGCAAGAAGTCGGAGCTGCAGGCGTTCGAGCAGAGGATAAGGCTTCTGACGGAGAAGACGGAGACCGTCGGATCGGAGAGGGACGAATGGAGGAGAAGGTTTACCAATATGGAGGAGAAGAACAAACACCTCATGATCGAGCTAGAAGCGACCAAGTCAGAGGCCAAGAGGACGGTCGCGGAGGTCGTCAAGGAAAAAGACATTCACATCTCCAGCCTCGAAGAGGAGGTGGAAACTCTGCGAGCAGACAAGGACAGGATCAAGGTGCTCAGCAGCCGCACCCGCCAGGAGCTCTTCCAGCAGCGCGAGAGGACTGAGAGCCTGGAGGAGGAGGTGCGGCGGCTAGGCGATCTGATGCAGGAGGAGCAGGAAGGGAAGAAGAAGCTCTCGCAAGAGATCTCCCTCCTCGTCCGCCAACTCGACGAGCTCCGCGATCGCTCGTCCTCCATGATGGTGGATGAGAGTCGCTCGCAGCTGGCTGCGATGCAAGAGGAGCTGGCGAGAGAGCGACAGTCGCGTCAGGAGGCGGAGGAGAGGCTCCTCACTGCTCTCCTGGAACGAGAGGAGGTTGTTGAGAGCAAGGATCAGGTCAAGGTGGAGCTGACAAGCAACAAGCAGCTGGTCGAGGCGCTTCACGGGGTGGGAGAGCTCCAGGTGAAGCTCTCAGAGGACATCGCCATCTTCCTTGATAGCCTCGACCTCGCCCATCAGCCCTCCTGGTCGCCACTGGAGGAGGAGCAGAAGAAGCCCTCCTGGTCCCTGTGGAGCTCGGATCACTCCGCATCTGTGCTTGAACTGCTGGGCAAGCAGGAGGCAAGCATGCTCGTGCTCTCCAGCAGCCTCGGACAAGCTGACTCGTCCTGCGAACGACTCGCCCAGCTCACTCGCCAGCTGCACGAGTCCTTCGAGTCTCAGGGAAGCCTGAGATCCACCGCGAGAGTGAGGCAGGAAGAGGAGACGGCGGGGGAGGAGAGGGGAGGCGAGGAGCCGTCAAGTAGTCCCATGGACAGCTTGAACCATGTTGGGGAGGGAGGAGAGGAGAATGGAACGGATGTGGGCGGGGTGGCGGTGGAGGAATCGAGCGGCGCGCGTGACAGTCAAGTGGGTCGCTTCTTAGTTAACGGCTTCAAGGTGAAGGAGGACGATCAGTTGAAGCCTGTTGTGGAGATCCTCCGCTCCGTACCGAAGCGAGGATGCCTGTGGAAAGGAGTGCGAAAGAGTTCCAAGCTGAATTTCAGCGAAGGAGAGTCAAATTGCGTGTATCTGCTACCAGAGCAGGAAGAAGATGAAGGAACTTGTGCTCCCGTCAGCAGCTGGCGGACTTCCCTCGATGTAGAGGTAACGAACTTGATTCTTACGGCAGTTTTCCCTTCTCTCACTCCCCGCTCCCTTCCCTCTGCTTCTCACTATCACCCCCCCTCCTCACCTCTGCGCTTGCTCGAGTACTGGCGCCTGCCTTGTCCTTGATTTCTACTGCCCATGAATACTTGAGGCAGGAAGAGCTGGAAGTGGCCGAGGAGGAGCTTGACCAGCTTGTCCGAGAAAACACTCGCGTGAATGCAGGCTCTTCCTACAGCTTCTGCTGAGTCTTTTGCGCCTCCTCCATGTTTGTCCTACCGGCATACTAACAAGAAAGAATAGTCTATTAACAATCTCTACTTCTCAACACTGCTTCTCACTGTACAACTGTGTTGCGAAACTGTACATAAGACTTGTGCAGCCCCGACTTGAGGCTGTACATGTCGTGCAAGATCACCTTGACAGCCGCGCGTTAGAGGAGCAGACGGGCGAGAAAAAGACAAGGAAGAAACAAGTAGCCACGACGATCAGCGAGCCAGACGGCAGGAGCAGGACGGGGGAGACAGCTTACCTGCATCTCACAGATATGACGATGGAGACCTTCGGTTGTCTCCCACTCGCTCAGAGGAACCAGCATGCAGCTGTTCATGATCGAGCTCTTGATGTACCCCACCTGCTCAACCTCAGATCGTAGGACAGCTCAGGCGACAATGTCCTACCTCCACACAAACGCACACATCGCGATACCCGACCGTCTCATGCTTGTTGTATGCGGGATCATACCTGCGGTGAAGATGAGGAGGAGAGGAGAGGAGGTGCGTGTCGTCAGCTCACCTGTTCTTGATGCATGTGATGCTCATGAACTTCTTGCTCAGCTCCACTCCCTCTCCCTCCGACTCCTGCGGACACGAGACTCTCAGACGACTGTCGGTCGGCCCCCAAGACCAGCACAAGCTCACCTCAGCCCCATCAGGCTGCACTTTCCCCCTGTGCGGGAACCGCTTCTCGTACCCGAACGCAACCTCCGACGTCCTCATCAGATGCTCCACCCACCGCGTCAGCTCCGTCAGGTCCTTCACCACAATGCTGCACCGCACGAGGTCCGTGAGCTTGGAGCAGTCTCGCTCGTAGGACCGCACGACTTTCTGCAGAGCGCGCGAGCATGTCTTGATGTTTCCCTGCTTCACCACTCCGTGCGCGTTCCACCGAGCCACGAAGTCCTGGAAAGGACCGCTCAGCTGCTGCGCTTCTTTGTACAAGAGCTCGATGTCGTTAGATCTTTGCCCCATCTTGAGACGTTTGGAGATGCGGGGTTTGTACAGACCCATCAGGATCATCGCCTTCCGACCGAGGCCTCGTCGTTCTGTCTGCCGCGCAACGAGTAGGAGGGAGTTGACTTGTCTGGTGAGCTGATACAAACGTTGTAGCATGTCGGCTTCGTTGCGTCTCATCCTGTTCCACGCCTCGCTGAACGCATTTGATTTTTCCTCCAGCTCCTCGTAGATCGCACGAAGCTTCAAGTAATACATCACAGGCATGGAAATGGCAAGACCAAGCAACACGGTGCCGTACACGTAGAACAAGTAAATGGCCCACTGAGCGTTCTGCGCGAAGGTGGTGAAATAGAAGCAGTATGCTCCCTGGAGGAAAAAGACAACGACATAGAAGTACTGCTGTCTGACATGGGCAAAGAAAAGCCCTACCCAGATAAAGGCCGAAGTAGAAAGACTCCAATACCCATGACAAACAGAGCCGATGCCATTGCCTTGGAATTCACATTGTATGAAGTCCAACATGGCGCAGATGACGTACATGAAGGAAACCAGCCAAGCCGTTGAGATCAGAATACGCCCTCCATTCAACGGCGTATTCCTGCGTGCCGCCATGATTCCCATGACGTAACACATGGCCCAGAAGATGGAGATGGCTGGATCAGCCAACACTGACCATCGCAACACTTTGGGCTCGACAGGAACGTTGTTATCTGCTTGAAATAGCCAACGCCGTGTTCCAGTCAAGCCTTGTATCTCGTATGATGCAAAGATCAGGTAAATCATGCTCAAGCAACTGATGATGATCTGAGTAGGGGACTTGAGTAAACCAGTCTCAATGGCGTTGGAAGTCATCATGGCGAGCCACTGGTTGGCTTCGATGTCTCGATATCGCTCAAGCCGAGACTTGAGGCTTTGAAAGCGCATCTCTGACCTCGCCAGGGTCACCGACTGCTTCAGCGCATCCATCGTCTGCTTGTTAAGCACAATGCTGTTGAAGTCTGGTAGCTCATACTCCACGCAGCTGTGCAGGCGTACGAAATCGTGCAGGTCCAAGTCAATCGCGCTGCGCAGCTGCTGTAGCGAGCTGATCCCCATGAGCGCGAGGATCTGCCTCAGGTCCTCCAGCAGACCCACAGACCTCAGCCACTCAATCATCTCCGAGGACCTCGGTCGATGCATGGTGAAGTCACTTTGAATCTTGAGGCTTTTCTTGTCCCAGACAACCTTTACCGTCTCCATCAGAAAGGTCGCAGCATGCCAGGCAAACGATGAGTCTGACCCTTTGAGCACCAAGAACGAGGTCCTCAGATCCATCATCGGGAGGGTGAAGGCGTACTCTGACTGGCAAGACTCTCGTTCTTGTGGAGGCAGCAGGATTACAATCGCATCCTTGACTGAGATGTCAGCGATGACCTGGAAGTGCTTGTCGTTGTATATGCCCATCTTCTGGATGATTACCTTGGCTCGTTCGATGGTCTTCGTGGATGGTGCATGGCTCAAGGCGTTGATCATAGAGAAGGGAAAGTCGTCCGACCCAGCAGATCTGTCATCGACGAAGATGGGAGCGATCGCACGAATCCACCCAATGTTGTTGTACAGGAAGTAGATGGCTAGGATGATGTGTAAAAGGATCTCGCTCGACTCATCTTTTCCTTCCTCGGGGCGGATCGAAAGCAGTTTGTTCAAGGTACCTGTGCCCGTGTCATCAAGACTAACGAAAGGTGCGAAGAGGAGGCTGTTGGTGGAGCACAAGCAGTTGTCCAAGTAATGCGCCTTGCTGACAGCCGGGAGACATTCGAAGTCCAGGTACGTCTTCTCATTCGAAAACCTGTCGAACTCAAAATCTTCACACGTCTGTGTGGGCTTGTGCAGGAGGAAGGAGAAGGGCAACTGGCTGGAGAGCATGTGGAAGTTCTTGTGTATCTCCTTCTGCCTCTGGACGCCCTGCCATTGAGTATCTCCCTGATCTGAGCCTGCCGACGGGGAGGCATTCTGGCTGACATGACTGTACAGCTCAGAGTGCGACCTGAACAAGAGAAAATAATCTGTGAAGAGACCGAAGTCCGAGCCAAACACAGTATGCTCCTCCATGGCAAGGATGAAAGCTTTAGGGGCTCCGATGTAACGGGCGAATCAAGAAATGAAGTATCATGGCGGGGTATGGTCAGGTATCGTGAATTCTTTCACCGTGAAGAGTGGAGGGGTTCGAAGAAGTAGCCTAAGGTTACGTGATGGACTCTTGCGCACTGCTGATTGCCTTGCACATTGTTACTGCCAGTCCCGACCGACATGGAAATCAGATTTCTGCATCAAGCCGTATCCAGAAAAAGCACCAAATCTGAGTTTGTATGAGAAGGGGTACACATGCAGTTTCTTGCTGAAAACATTGCCACTGCCTCTGAGGTCGTTTGACCTACGGATGGCCACAAGGATTCGCAATTTGAGATAGAGATGGGGCAGTAAGTTAAGTCTGTCTTGATATCGACCGTTTTATGATCCACAGAACTAAATCTTCTCTCCAAATGGATCTTGTTGAACTTGGATCGCTCAGGGGTACAGGGTGGGGTTTGCACAGCACGAATATAGCTACCCGGATACACAGAACTGGTTAGATAGAGCCAAGGAAATGAGGAATAGGAAACACAGACGATGATATGAAGCCACTATGGTCAGAGAGGAGGGGCGAGAAAGGCTCCGTCATGATGTTGTTCCGGCCGCTCCATCATGCGGAGCATAGCTGGTGATGAACTGACCGCTGTATGGGGGTAGGGTACAATCATCTTTTTTTGTACCTAGGTGGGTGGTGATGCACGAAACGATGTACCGGTGCTTATCTATGATATTTTACAGAAATTATTACGGTAGGGTACTCTTGAAAAATCAACCATCACACGTTGTTTCGATAGTAAAAGGGGTAGGGTGGACTACCCTACCTCTTCTCTGTCTCCTGCGGGAAGCCTCATTCGGTTTACTTTACCACTGAGTTTAACCCCACCCCACCCATCGAAATAACGCACTACTACCCCAATGAACTAAGTACCCCTTAAAACACACTACCCCACTAGATTACATGTTGACAATCCACCCCTCCAAGACTTGCGACCTTACCCTACCCCCTAGTCGACACTGTGTAGTCATCTTGTTGCTAAATGGACCCCTTTTAAATCCCACTTCTACCCACCCTTTTCCCAACTTTTTCATCCCTTTGGTACGCCTATGGATTTTGTGGAAGGAGTCATCAAGAGATCACCCATGTCAAGGTACCCACCCCTTCTGCATACCACCTACCCAAGTCTCACGTCGGTACAAATTGGATTGTCTCTTCCAACCTACAGGGATATCTTGTATCTGGGGTACCCTATAAACCTCCGCCACCACCCCCACCCGCCGTTACACCCCACCCCACCACATCGAAATTTCATGCGCAGTTTGTGGCTCGACTCAGGCCGCCAGTAGTAGGAGTCATATTGAAGGAATCGAACACCAAGGTGGGACGTGACCGCAGGTCAAGGGTGTTGGACAGGGGTGGGGTACTAATATTGGTGGTGGTACGGGCTCGAGAGCCAGAGGCCGATGCCACCAAAACAACACAGGATGGGGTGGGTTATAAAGGCATGCATCGCGCCGTGATAGGAGGATTATTTTAAAATTATTTACAATTAAAAAATGATTTATTCAAGATCTGAGGCTCCAAAAAGCACCTTTTCCCATCAAGGAGTCAACGGGTGGATGGTGTAATTTTGCTGTTTTGATACCGGTGGCCCAAAGTTAATTGTCAGGAGGGAAACAATTCAGGTGGTTTCGTGGAGGACCCCGAAATCATCTTCAATTTTCATACGAACTTTACAATTGTCAGCACACCGTCACAACAATACAATAATGGGCCTCCTAAAACATAGCCGCCGGCCCGGCGCCGGGGCTCCGACTCCGGCCGCCCGCGCGGCCGGCCCAGGGGGTCCGACGGCGATCGGGCCGATCATCCGATCGGCGGACTCGATCGGACCGGGCGGCCACGCCGCCGCCCGGGATGCCGCAGTGACTCTCAGCCGGCCCGGTGCCCCCCCAGGCTTCCGATGATCGGCTCAGCGGCTCCGAGTCAGTCCACTGGGTGGCCAGGCTCAGGCTCAGGCCACTCAGTGAGTGGCAGCCGGGGCAAGGTGACCGGGGCCGGGCCGGCCGGGCGGCGGGCGACTGCGTCACCCGGCGGGCCGAACGCCGGGTGCAGTCACGGTGACGGCGGGCCGGGTGCCGGTGCCGCTGAGTGGCCGCGTGGCCCTGCGGCGGACCGTTCCGAGTCCGGCCGAACTTCATCAGTCCGATCCTGGCACGGTGGCCCATCACCGTGGCACCGTGAGGCCCGGCCGAGTCGGTAACTAAGTTGAAACCTTTCGAGTCTCAAAATGCAAAAGACTAATCAGCCCGGCCCCCCCCCCGGCCCGGGCCCACGGTGGTTCGGAGGGCCGTAAACTACTCTTGGACCCGGGTCGTATCACTCCGAATTTTCCACCCCCTAATGTCCATGATACTACCCCACCTTTCTGCTATGAAAACTATATATAATAATTGTCCTGTTCGCCACCCCCATTCATAGCCAGACAGCCACCCACCCGGGAGTACACCTGCTGGCATACAACCGACTCCTCGAACACCTCGTACCCTATGGCGAGCATATGTGGTTTGCCTTCCCACTGCTCTACACACGCACATCCTTGTACCGAGTCCCCTATGCTTGCAACTGCTCGTGCTTGATATCATCGCCTGCCTCTGACGTCCATCCATGCTAACATCTGACCACAAACAGATTGAGATACATCTCCACATTAATCCTCAAAGCCTCTTATGAGAGAGATATACAATACCTGACCATACCCCGCCATGATACTTCATTTCTTGATTCGCCCGTTACATTGGAGCCCCTAAAGCTTTCATCCTTGCCATGGAGGAGCATACTGTGTTTGGCTCGGACTTCGGTCTCTTCACAGATTATTTTCTCTTGTTCAGGTCGCACTCTGAGCTGTACAGTCATGTCAGCCAGAATGCCTCCCCGTCGGCAGGCTCAGATCAGGGAGATACTCAATGGCAGGGCGTCCAGAGGCAGAAGGAGATACACAAGAACTTCCACATGCTCTCCAGCCAGTTGCCCTTCTCCTTCCTCCTGCACAAGCCCACACAGACGTGTGAAGATTTTGAGTTCGACAGGTTTTCGAATGAGAAGACGTACCTGGACTTCGAATGTCTCCCGGCTGTCAGCAAGGCGCATTACTTGGACAACTGCTTGTGCTCCACCAACAGCCTCCTCTTCGCACCTTTCGTTAGTCTTGATGACACGGGCACAGGTACCTTGAACAAACTGCTTTCGATCCGCCCCGAGGAAGGAAAAGATGAGTCGAGCGAGATCCTTTTACACATCATCCTAGCCATCTACTTCCTGTACAACAACATTGGGTGGATTCGTGCGATCGCTCCCATCTTCGTCGATGACAGATCTGCTGGGTCGGACGACTTTCCCTTCTCTATGATCAACGCCTTGAGCCAAACGCCATCCACGAAGACCATCGAACGAGCCAAGGTAATCATCCAGAAGATGGGCATATACAACGACAAGCACTTCCAGGTCATCGCTGACATCTCAGTCAAGGATGCGATTGTAATCCTGCTGCCTCCTCAAGAACGAGAGTCTTGCCAGTCAGAGTACGCCTTCACCCTCCCGATGATGGATCTGAGGACCTCGTTCTTGGTGCTCAAAGGGTCAGACTCATCGTTTGCCTGGCATGCTGCGACCTTTCTGATGGAGACGGTAAAGGTTGTCTGGGACAAGAAAAGCCTCAAGATTCAAAGTGACTTCACCATGCATCGTCCGAGGTCCTCGGAGATGATTGAGTGGCTGAGGTCTGTGGGTCTGCTGGAGGACCTGAGGCAGATCCTCGCGCTCATGGGGATCAGCTCGCTACAGCAGCTGCGCAGCGCGATTGACTTGGACCTGCACGATTTCGTACGCCTGCACAGCTGCGTGGAGTATGAGCTACCAGACTCCAACAGTGTACAGCTCATAAAGCAGTCGATGGATGCGCTGAAGCAGTCGGTGACCCTGGCGAGGTCAGAGATGCGCTTTCAAAGCCTCAAGTCTCGGCTTGAGCGATATCGAGACATCGAAGCCAACCAGTGGCTCGCCATGATGACTTCCAACGCCATTGAGACTGGTTTACTCCAGTCCCCTACTCAGATCATCATCTCAGGTGTTAGCATGATTTACCTGATCTTTGCATCATACGAGATACAAGGCTTGACTGGAACACGGCGTTGGCTATATCAAGCAGATAACAACGTTCCTGTCGAGCCCAAAGTGTTACGATGGTCAGTGTTGGCTGATCCAGCCATCTCCATCTTCTGGGCAATTGGATACATTGTTGGGATCATGGCGGCACGCAGGAATACGCCGTTGAATGGAGGGCGTATTCTGATCTCAACGGCTTGGCTGGTTTCCTTCATGTACGTCGTCTGCGCCATGTTGGACTTCATACAATGTGAATTCCAAGGCAATGGCATCGGCTCTGTTTGTCATGGGTATTGGAGTCTTTCTACTTCGGCCTTTATCTGGGTAGGGCTTTTCTTTGCCCATGTCAGACAGCAGTACTTCTATGTTGTGCTGTGTTTCCTCCAGGGAGCATACTGCTTGTACTTCACTACCTTCGCGCAGAACGCTCAGTGGGCCATTTACTTGTTCTACGTGTTCGGCACCATGTTACTTGTCTTTACCATTTCCATGCCTGTGATGTATTACTTGAAGCTTCGTGCGATCTACGAGGAGCTGGAGGAAAAATCAAATGCGTTCAGCGAGGCGTGGAACAGGATGAGACGCAACGAAGCCGACATGCTACAACGTTTGTATCAGCTCACCAGACAAGTCAACTCCCTCCTACTCGTTGCGCGGCAGACAGAACGACGAGGCCTGGGTCGGAAGGCGATGATCCTGATGGGTCTGTACAAACCCCGCATCTCCAAACGTCTCAAGATGGGGCAAAGATCTAACGACATCGAGCTCTTGTACAAAGAAGCGCAGCAGCTGAGCGGTCCTTTCCAGGACTTCGTGGCTCGGTGGAACGCGCACGGAGTGGTGAAGCAGGGAAACATCAAGACATGCTCGCGCGCTCTGCAGAAAGTCGTGCGGTCCTACGAGCGAGACTGCTCCAAGCTCACGGACCTCGTGCGGTGCAGCATTGTGGTGAAGGACCTGACGGAGCTGACGCGGTGGGTGGAGCATCTGATGAGGACGTCGGAGGTTGCGTTCGGGTACGAGAAGCGGTTCCCGCACAGGGGGAAAGTGCAGCCTGATGGGGCTGAGGTGAGCTTGTGCTGGTCTTGGGGGCCGACCGACAGTCGTCTGAGAGTCTCGTGACCGCAGGAGTCCGAGGGGGAGGGAGTGGAGCTGAGCAAGAAGTTCATGAGCATCACATGCATCAAGAACAGGTGAGCTGACGACACGCACCTCCTCTCCTCTCCTCCTCATCTTCACCGCAGGTATGATCCCGCATACAACAAGCATGAGACGGTCGGGTATCGCGATGTGTGCGTTTGTGTGGAGGTAGGACATTGTCGCCTGAGCTGTCCTACGATCTGAGGTTGAGCAGGTGGGGTACATCAAGAGCTCGATCATGAACAGCTGCATGCTGGTTCCTCTGAGCGAGTGGGAGACAACCGAAGGTCTCCATCGTCATATCTGTGAGATGCAGGTAAGCTGTCTCCCCTGTCCTGCTCCTGCCGTCTGGCTCGCTGATCGTCGTGGCTACTTGTTTCTTCCTTGTCTTTTTCTCGCCCGTCTGCTCCTCTGACGCGCGGCTGTCAAGGTGATCTTGCACGACATGTACAGCCTCAAGTCGGGGCTGCATAAGTCTTACGTACAGTTTCGCAACACAGTTGTACAGTGAGAAGCAGTGTTGAGAAGTAGAGATTGTTAATAGACTATTCTTTCTTTACGGTTGGTATCAGTGCCGGTAGGCCCAGGTGACAAACGGCGCAAAAGGCTCAGCAGAAGATTTGTTAAATTACGTAGTAAGACTCTTCAATTGACATGTCTTGTAGGGAGATCGTGTATGCCTCTTAACTCCCCAAAAGCCTACTGGGAATCATCATGACCGTCGCTATCGGAGGATTGGCCGGGCCTGGGCAGCTGGCCCGGGCCCGACCGCCTGGGCGGTGCCTTCAAAATCAGATCCGCCTCAGCAAAGCTGCGCGGCACCAAGAGCCATGCTGGCGTCGTTGCTTACCATGCTGAACGAGACAGCAACGGAGGCGCCGGAAGGGTTCTATGCATCAGACGGGCAGACCAGCGTCAATGCTGTAAGTGAATGTACTGCTTGTGGCTGTGAGAATATTTGTCCTGTTTCTCCTCAAATGCATTTTTTGTGCCCCTGCGCAAATTTGGCAATGTGTTGATTCGTGCGCTTCCATGGCTCAAAACCTCTGTCGCTATGGATTACAGTCTAGCTTTGAAACAACACTGTGTTGTCTTGTTAAATTGAAGGAGAATTGCTGTTGACGATTTCTTCTTTTTTCTCTTTTTACAGTACAGCGCGAATTGTGGAGTAGTTTACGTCTACGGCCCCCCAGGGTTTCAGCCAAAGACATGGGGACAGGGAAGTTGTTTTGATCCGACCATGGTATCATTGCCCGCCGATTATGTAGAAGTGTTTCAATAGATATTCAAAGAGAGAAGCATCTGGACTCATGTCAATCCAGCAGCTCTAGGTCATAACCAACTGCAAAGTGGCAACTTCCTGTCACGATCCTCTTCTCCTGCAGTGTATCAAGCGGATCACGGTTATCCTTACGGCAGTCAGATACGTTCTTCCGCTCCCTCCCCTGGTTGGATCTCATGCTCGATAAACCCAGTCCAGCAGCGAACTCGTCGAAGGTCATCCTAGCGGGGGCTAGCTTGAAGATGACGATCATCTCTTTCCTGAAGACCTCATTGAGCTTGTGATTCTTCGATCTGTTGATGATGGATCAGATCTCATATCTCCCACAGCTGAGGGGGGAAAGCTGATCCCACCTGATCTCCTCGCAACTGAACCAGGGCTTGATGCCCTGCATGAACAGTCCCTCGATCCTTTCCGAGCGATGAGAAGCGGAGATGTAGATCTGGGGGAGCTCCTCCTATAACGATGGGGAGAGGATGTCACTGACTTCATCCTCCTCGTTGCTTCCACTAGACAAGCACCTCACTCATGTTCTTCAAGGGTTTCCTCCTCCTGGCGTGCAAGCAGCAGAGGGTACGGAGGGTTCGGATCAGCGGCTCAACAATCTCCTCCTGCCGCAAGTGTGAGAAGGTAAGAGGAGAATGGTAATATCGGAATGTCACCTCATAGAAGACATCTGACATGATGATGAAGTCGAACGACTCATCCTTCATGAGCGCGATCGCCTCCTCGCCATGGTTCCAGTCCAGGGTAATCGCCTCGATCGGCCGCGCGTCAAGCTCGAGGGAGTCCGAGTTCAACAGGATGTTGCCGTGCAGCAGAGATATCATGCACTCCTTGTCGCTCATGACCACTCTCGCCGCCCCTTTGACGGACAGCGTCAACCCCAAGTATCCTGTGCCCGCCGCTAGCTCCAGCACTCTGCTCTCCGCGAGTACCTCGGAGAACTCTGCAAGCATGAATCGCCCCAGCGCAATGGCTCCTTTCCAGACGTCTCCTCCTGTGTCTGTCAGCCTGTCAGTCCTGCATGCGGCATCGAGAGCGAGGCAGCGACTTCACCTTCGAGCAGGAGCTTTGTGTTGGTCATAATCTTTATGCCACCAGGGAATGAGCGGACCCCCAAGTTGCGAGGAGGGATCTTGAGCGCGCCCTCCATGTCCGCGTCTTCCCATGCTGAGCTCATGCCTTGCTACCAGCCATGCTCTCCTCCTCTTCTCCCATGCAGTCGCGCCATTCCTGGAGGTACCTGACAGGCACCATGGCGCCCAGGGGCAGCGGCGTCAGTTAATTCCCTGTCCTGCTATTAAAGCTGCTGTCCCGGCCATGGAGAATCTTGGAGCGATCCTCAGACGAGAGGGAGGGAGGGGAGGGGAGGGACAAGAGGCTAGGGGAGAGCAGGGGAGAGACGAGGGAAGGTAGAAGATGCATGCAGAGGAGGGAGCGGAAGGCAGAGGAGGCAGAGGAAGGCAGAGGAAGGCAGAGGAGGTTGAGAGCACGAGAGTGGTTGGGTCGCATGAAAGCATGCAGTTGTGGACGAGCCTAGAAGATGCGATGGACTGATGGACTCGGGAGGAGGGACCTTTGAGTGGAGGAGCAACGACGCCCTGCCGCGGTCCTCCCGATGCCAACACGACATGTCACTCGGGCAGTCGGGTACTCAGAGTCTGTATGAATGTCCCAAGTTCGTTCCGTTCCAGCTCTTGGCCCAGGTACAGCAGTTGTTGTTGGACAACGTGGATGGACGGAGAGGATTTCAACATGAAGCCTTCAAGTTGTGTCTGCGGAGATCGGAGCTGATGAGCGTGTTGAAGGACATGCGACGGGAAGGAAGCAGATCGAGGCAGGACAGGGACAGCAGGGACTTGGCCAACTCATGGCCGAACGTTGTGGATGTGAAGCATGTGTTTGCTGCTGCTCTTCCTTTCCTGGAGAGCGATGTGGTGATGGCGAGATTGAACATCACTAGCAGCAAAGAATCATTGGAAGAAAGAGCGTTGATATGCCTTCAAACTCGAGTCAAGGCTCTTTTCCTGCTGCACTGCGTGTTTTATTCGCAGACTGCAGTCAAGAAAGAGCCCATCCTCCTCACCCCTGCTTCCTGGCGGCATGTTCTCGACCTCTGTCAACTAGCCCATCAGCTTCAAGAGAGGAGATCAGCTGCGCTACAAGTCAAGAGCTGCCATACTGGCGACTGGTCGTCGGTTATCTTGCGCGGGGAGGATGCAGACATGAGCGATTTCTGCTCTGCATTTCGCATGCTGTACATGGCTGGGGCGATGCGCTTTGCTGCAGTGCCTGCCGCCATGAACGCGAGCAACTACAGGAGATGGGTGAATCAGGTAGACGGCAACTTGTTGCATGCGTTAGGAATACGACTTGAGTACAAGCGCGAGCAAGCCTCCTCTTCCTCCCTCCCTCCCTTCCTCCCTCCCCCTCCTTCTCCGTGGTTTTGCCCTCCTTCCTGCTTTCTCCTTGTGCCGTTAATCTTGTCTTCTCGGGTATTGATTGCAATGATGAAACAGGAGGCAGAACAAGACCAAGTTCCTGAGAGAGAGCAGAACAACGCTGAAACAATCTCGAAAGGATTCAAAATGGCCGAGCAAGTTCTTGAGGGTTATGTCATCATCTTTCAACTTCCTGCTCGACCTGTCTGATCTCTTTCCAGATCTTCACGCAGGACGCGATCTAGAGACCTCGAGGCTGTAAGATTGCGTTCTGATGTTGATCGTGCCATCACCATCTCTCTTGTTGCCATGCTGCCCTCCCCCATGCTGACGTCACCGCTGTCACATTTGACGAGGCTGACAACAGCTTGCAATGGCAGGGAGGAGGCAGTAAACAAGTACTGTGAAGCCAAGAACCAGGTTGATCCAAAATCTTGTGAGGGCGAGGTGATGACTTTTACCTCCAGCTGAAGGAGGAAGGCGAACTCGTTCCCTTCTATCTTGAGTCGAAGATAGCAGACTATCTGCAGGTCAACTGTTCTCAACCCCATCCATCATCTATTCCGTTTCTTCTCTCCTGTTCATGTTCTTCTCTCCTGTTCACGTTTCTTCTCTCCTCCTCCTCCTCCTCATCATCATCATCATCATCATCATCATCATCATCACCACCACCACCACCACCACCACCACCACCACCACCACCACCACCACGTTTCTGACTGATCGAGATAGGACACTCTCAAGAGGTCAGAGGTTGAGGCTCCAAGGAGGAAAGGGACAAAGAGGAAGGAGGCAGAGGAGCCTGAAGAAAGGAATCTTGACCTGCTCGACTTGTCTCTACCCGATCAACAAGATTCATCGCGATGGGAAGAGCTTTTGAGGACGGTGAAGCAGCGAATGGAAGCTTACAGGGAGGAGGAGAACCAGGGGGGGGGTATCTCTTCTGCCCCCGCACCTCCCCTTGCTCCTCCTCCTCCTCCTCCTCCTGCCTCCGATCTCTCGCTCCCTACCTTCTCCCATCAAGACCAGCAGGCTCATCTTCCGCTCCCAGTGCCCCTGGAGGCTGTGAACTTGCCCGAGGAGGAGAGGATGAGCAGGGAGCTGGAGGCAGAGCTGGAAGAAGCGCTGGCTGAGGAGGAAGCGGAGGAGGAGGGGAGCAGGAGGAGAAGGGAAGAAGCGAACAAACGACGGGTGCACGCCAGCACGCATCAAGGAGCAGGAAGCAGAAGGAGGAGGCAAGAGGAGGCGGTGGAGGTCGCGAGGACAAAGAAAGTGGAGAGCAGAAGGAAAGGAGGAGAAGAGACGAGAAAGGCGGAGGCGGGGAAGAGGAAGAGACCGGAGCAGGAAGCAAAAGGAAGGAAGAAGCCTCAACGGATTGCAAGCAGCAGGGGAACGCGAACGAGGAGGAGACGAGGAGACGAGTGGGAAGAGGAGAGGTGAGTTGATCCTCCTTGCTGTGCCGGTCGCTCATGCAAGTACAGGTTGTCGGAGGAGGAGCAAGAGAAGGAGCAGGCGAGCCAGAGCGAGAGGTTCAGGACGGGAGAGACTGTGTGGACGGAGGAAGCAGTGAAAAGCTTCTTGGAGCTGACTAGGAGGATGGACTTGACCAGGAAGTGCTTCCTTGCTGCTCTGCCCACCCCTGCTGCCCTGCTGCGGGAAGACGGTTGACAGCAGGAGAAGAGTTGAGACGGAGGAGACTGACGGAGAGCAGAGGGACAGAAGCTTGTAAAGGAGGAGGGAGGAGGGAGGAGAGAGGGAGGGAGGATGGTGGTGGTGGATGAGGGAGGAGAAGGATGAGGACATGGATTCATTAAACGAGTAGGAGGCGTCATGAGCGGTCCAGCTCCTCGGAACCCGCGAAGACGGACGGGAGGATCTGTATGTGACGAGCGTAACGATGAACGAAGAGCGCGAGCCTGCCGCAGCAATGAGGAGGAGGAGACAGACAGCAGAGGAGGAGGGAGGGAGGGAGGAGGGAGAACAAGACAACTGGAGGATGGACAAAGCTATCACCTTCCCTTGACCAGAGACAACTCGTCCTCTCCTTGCAGTGAAAGTCAGGGTGTCGGAGGGGAGACCCAGGAGGAAGAGGAAAGTAGCGGACAAGGAGCGGGAAAGGGTGACAGTGGAAAGAGGGGGAAGAATATCATGGGAGGAGAGGAGAATAAAGAGTCGGCACAGGCGATGGTGCGAGGATGAGCAAAAACAGGAGCAGAAGCAGAAGCAGGAACGAGGAACGAGGAATGGAGGAGGATAGGAAGCGGAGAGAGTTTTACCCTCAATGAAGTTTTCAAAGGTGATGAGATCCTGGCGGAGAGGAAGCGAGAGCGAGAGGTGAGCGTTGGCAACCTGTAGGAAGGGAGGAGAACAGGGGAAGGAGCAAGGAAAAGTCAGCAGATGATGGAGTTGATACTCGGCTGAGATGGAGAAGAAAGGAAGGAGAAGAGAAGGGAGAGGAGAGGAGAGGAGAGGAGAGGAGAGGAGAGGAGAGGAGAGGAGATCAAACGAAGAAACACTTACAACTTGAAGAATCTGAGCGTCGGTGAAGGACACTTGCTAGAGAGCACAAGTCAAGAATCAAACCAATTTACAAATAGAAAAGTCTACTATAAAGCCCTTCCCACCCTCCTCATCATCATCCTATCACCCCCTCCACACCATTCTCCTCCTCCTCCTCCTCCTCCACCACGGACACGCGCGCCCAATAACGACCTGAAGGTGACTGAGCTGCTGGAGCATTTGAAGACGTCGCTAAACAGCTTCGAGGCGTCGCTTGCCGAAAAGGATGAGCGCGACAAGGCAGCGACGTCGAGCTTCGAGGCCGAGCTGTCAGCGGCAAAGAAGGGAGCTCATCGCCTCTTGCCTGTCGCCCAGCCC